CCATGTGCCTAGACCATCGACATGCTACCAAGAAGAACTGTGGTTAGCTAGTACCAAAAATGAACTGAAGTGAGTAGAAGGAACATTTGAAAGGACTAAGACATGTTGTGGTTTCACCCTTCTTTCCCCTTATTGATCTGGTCAATGAAAAACCTAACCCAATGCCTAGTCCACTCTGCACGCTACCTAACGAGCTACATGCTGTCCAGAGGGGGTCTGGTGGCAGCGACCCTTAGAAATTAAGATTAGAGTTAAGTATTCCCCCTTAGAATTAGTGACCCCCAGTCTGGCAGTATACTGGGTCTTTCAGGAGACGTTTCTTCAAGCTCGCTAACCGTTGCTCAACTAGTTTCCTGTTTTTCGGGAGTCCCGGCTCTTCATGACGGAACAGTATGGGAAGTTGATAGTGTCCATCCACCCTCGTCACTGAAGTTGACCACAGCACCAGGACTCTTCTGTCTTCAACAGAGATGGGGTTTTCATTGCAGTAAGCCGAGTCACATTCCCAGAAGTGTCTGACCTGTTTCTCTAAATGTGTCTCCAGGCTCAGCGGCTTTTCTGAGAAGAGGTGATTAATTGCTAGGTGGTCACTTATTGCAGGTCCAATCAGTCCATTTATAGTCCATCCTAGAAGTGCCCGCACCGCGAATGGCTCTCCGTTTTCCCCGGTCCTTACTTCTAACGATGTTAGGGCTTGTGGTACATCAAACCCTATCAGGAGATCCACTCTTTCCGGTGCGTGCAGTGGTGTGGTTCCTTGGAGGTGCCACCACTTGACAACAGCTCTGGTGTCTGCAACCAATGCTACCAGTGAAGAAGGCAGGTCTTTAATAACAAGGATTCTGAGAATGTTGATGGATTGACTTCTTCTCAATCCGACGCTAGTCATCTTCAGATCGATCTCTTTGGCCTTCACGCTCTTTGTTTCCTTCAGGATCGTGCCTACGGAGATTGAAACAGACTTCCCTGTTATTCGTAGTCGGTTGGCTAGGCTCTTGGTGCAATAAAACCTGTTGCTGCCTGAGTCCAAGAGTGCTCCGGTGATCACTGTCGTATTCGTTGCTCGCCTTATCTCCCCAACCTTGACCTTTAATATGGGGAGTGCATCTCTGCCTGGATCTGCTAGTCGCATGTCGTAATCTTCGAGCACTTCGCACTGATTATTTTCTCGACCGTAAGTATCTCTGGCCCACCTATACAGGTTTTCTCGGTTCATGGTCACCAGTGCAACCTGCCTGTTTCCAGCCCTTTTCTCCGTAACTCTTGAGCTGCATTTGGGTTTCCATGGCCTAGCTCCACTGGTCGTTGATTTCGGTGCCGACATGATGGCCTTGAGTTGACAGCCACCTAGCTTCTGTCACTTGTGGGCAGGTGACACTTCTGACTGGTGTGCATCCATGGTGGAAGCTCTTTTTATCCCTTGAAAACTGGCTCAAAGTTCCTTTCTTGATGGTTCGTCCTGGTTTGGCATGTTATTGCGCATAGAATTTCTCGAGAAGTGCAGGAGATTCTAGTGGAAGCTATAGCAGCCATCTATGCCGCACCTTGTCTTCTGGATGCACTCGGCCATCCGGTGAGCGCGATTTAAGCAGGCGAAACAGCGACTTTCTTCACATATGAGTGAAGTTCGCTCTCCAGCGGACATGTTGAGGAATGCTTGTCATCTCTGCAGAGGGTGATATCCAGGGCACAACGAGCAAGTGCTTTCGTCCCTTCCTCTAACCTCGGCATCGGCCTCTGGGGAAGCCTCATAGTGGCCATTAACTCTTCCAGTCTCTGGGTTGGTAGCGTTGTGTCCGATGGCCTCCCTTGCATCCATCCTGGGCGTTCTCACTGTATATCTTGTACTTGGTTTTCCTTCTACTGGGTTCCTGTTGGTGTCACTGCTTCCGGAAAGTGGGTATGACGGGTGGAAACATGTTCCCTCTACCCCTGATGAGATGTTCCCGACTTTGAGGCGCTGAGTGTTGGGAACCCTCCTTAGGTGGGTGTCAAGGTGTAGCACCTAGACACTCCTGGTTCCGGCGGTTGACAACTTGTGTCTCGTGGATACCTCGTCGCGGCTGTCATCTCCTCACTCGTTTCCAGAAAAGGCTTTCCCCCTGTTAATGATAGCATCTCACCAAAGTCCTCTGTATCGCCTAAAGTCTGCAGTTGCTCCACATGATCTTTCATATTCTGCATCATTGCAGTCAATTGAGTGAGCGGCTGCTGATAACCCTCCGATTACTCTATTCATCCTGCCTGTTGGTTTCAACCTTCTCTCGGATGAAGGGGTTTCTCCACTTCGCCCTGGCTGTGTGAGTGACCGGTTAGCATCTCCATCGTTCAGGGCCTCCAGGTCTTCTACTCTGGCTAGGCTTATCTCCTCTGCCTTGTTCCCTTCCATGACTGGTGACACAGTGAACTCAATTTGGTTCTTTCGGTGGACAGTTATAGAGACGTTCGGATAAGCGGGAATGCTCTTCAACTGACACGCCTGCTCGTTTATAACGATGTCATATAACTGAGGTCATACAAGCGATGAACTGAAGTTATACAAGCGAAGTCATACAACTGAAGTCATATAAGCGAAGTCATACAACTGAAGTCATATAAGCGATGTCTTACAATTGAAGTCATATAAACGATGTCTTACAACTGAAGTCATATAAGCGCTGTCATACAACTGAAGTAATATAAACGGGTGCAATAAGCACGAGCGATGTCACACTAACACGACAACAGAGGCACCACAATCAGTGTGGGGATTCATTACACAACTGCTAAGATCATAAAACTAATGCCACAAACACTACTGCGCCCTTACTCACAATGTTACTTAACTGTCACAGCTACTATTTTCTAATAGAAAGGGATACTCACCCGTTCAAAAATTTTATTTACAATTGGCAATCCAGTCTGGCTGTATGCTTTGAACACTATCTCCCCCGCGTGTATGCATGAATGTTATTGACACAGAGTCCACTCTTTCCTGACACGTGGTCCTTGCAGCAAGGCGGCGTGCCTGTCCTGAGTGAACGATAACACTCCCGTGCGCCCGTACAAACAATTTGGGCTCCGAGACCAGTCCTTTCTGACACTGGACCCACATACAGAGGCGTCATGCTTTTCTACGTACACATACAAATGCTATACACACACTCGACCCACAACCCCCTTTTTGCTGGGGTTAACTATTATTATATTATAGGCATCACACTTTAGTCGATGATTCACACAAAGGCGTCCCCGCTCTCCTGCTGCGTAGCTGCGGGGTGTGTCAGGTGCCGGAGGGAAGGGCCCCGCTGAAGGTTCTATGACGGTCAAATCACTCGCCAGTTCTCAGTAGACTGTATCGGCAGACTGTAGGACCCACGTTTTGACTGTAACCGCCCGTTGAGCAACTGTGGGATAATGAGACCCTTGCATGTAGGACTCTATTGTTCTTTGTTCAGTCAAAACCTGCATAGTACAAATTACATATGAGATAATTAATTCACTCGTACGTTCCTTCACTATTAACAACTACATATGATATACTGTATTTGAATAAAAACTTACGTGTTTCGGGTCTAATGTAGGCATTATTAGCTCCCTGGACGGCTAAAGACCATCTTCTGAACCCCACAGGGAGCGAGTTAGTCAGCCCCAAGGCGAGGACCATCTGTTTCACATTTAACACCTCAGCAAAGTTCGTTGTAAACACTCACTCTCTCTCCCTTTCTCTCTCTTCTCTTCTAGTTTATCCTACTGTGGCAGTAACATTACTATACAAATAGATCCAATATTTATTGTAATGATTGACACCAGAGGGTGCTACTGCTAGGTTAGGTTGCCCTTATGGTACTACATACTACCTGTGTACACAGGGTCCCATAATGGTAACCCAACCTGGATCATGCAAGGCTATCAGTGTACCTTGGTCGACGTATCTCGCCTATCTCTATAGTAGGGGGCTCAGACAAGCCTCAGCACCCAGCCCTTGGCAGCCTCACAGTTCCTTGCAGTGACAGACAGCCTTTGGTGTCATCACATAGCCCTTACTAGCTGTACACAACTAGCAACTTTTGAGCACCCCTAGAAGCATCATGTAAACCTTATGGGAGCATCAATCAGCCTCCTCAAAGACAAATAGCTCTTAAGAGCCTCACACATCCCAAGTTGCCACAAACATCACATATCCCCTTGAAGTTACACTGCCTTGAAAATAATCTTTAACATGTACAACATTTGAAGAAAAAAAATACAATTACACAAGTTTATCCAGAAGAAAAAGTCATTGGTTAAAAAGCAAGTTGTGAACACGTAAAATATAAATTACTGATAAAATTATGGTATTTGTTAAACTATTGCTATACAAAGTTCTCAAATTATGGCTACAGGTTGACAATCCCTTATCCGAAATCAGAAAGTTTTTTAGTGGAGCAAATTTTTTTTTTTTTTTTTTTACGGGGATTAGCCCACCCGGGCACAGGTCACTGACCCATATTGGGGCCTGGGGGGGCAAAAATGTAGTAGTAATAGAAATAATAATAATAATGATAATAACAATACGAAATAATAATCATTCATAGTAAATAATATTTATAATAAAAAATACACAAAAATAAATTAATAATTATGATAATAATAATTCCTGTAATAAAAATATTAATAAAATAATAATAATAATAATAATAATAATAATAATAAAGAAATACAAGAATGAAAAAAAGATCGAAAGTGAGAAACACGACCTACCTGTAGACCTATGAATTATTATTATTATTATTATTACTATATTTTTACCCCCCAGGTCCTGATGTGAGTCTGTGACCTGTGCCCGTGTGGGCTAATCTCCATGTTAAAAAAAAAGAACCCTAACCTAACCATTCTGAAATCCAAAAAATTCCAAAATCCGAAACACATCTGGCCCAAAGGATTTCAGTAAGGGATTGTCAACCTGTAATACAAATTAGAATTGACAACAGCTTAATTACCTCCCTTGTATAATCTAATTCAGTCATATTGTGTTGCAGTTGATCAAAACAAGTCTCCCAAGAACTGGATGAACGAAAGCCAGTCAATCAAAATTAGCAGTGGAGATGATGGAGGAGGGGGGAATGTAGAAGATATAGGAGAGGGAATGACCAGCTCAGCACCACCCCAGCTGCTACCACCACCAACACACCTCATCTCTGAGGACCATTTTGACTTACTGGAGAGGACGCAGCAGCCTGGCCATCACTACAATACCTCATCAGACACCCGAACACTGGCACACCAAGATAATAACACCATTACAGTGGACCCTTCAACGCGACCTCCACACTTTATATTCCATAAGGTTTATGTTGAAGCAAATTACAATGGTCGTGGTAGGCAACCATATCGCCGCCCAGTCTTGGCAGTCATGGCAGTTAGCAATGACAGGACATCTGCCATAGCTACTACCAAAGACAAGGACAGTGATATAGCAGCCTCCATGGATATTATAACATATCATTTAGCAACTGACAGCACAAAAGAACTCCCAGACAAGTCTGAAATGCTCTCTGTCACTCAAAAAAATATATCTGAGCTTTCTGATGAGGATATTGAATCCGTGGAGCAGATAAAAATGGAGAATACCCCAGATGATATCCCAGAGTTTTGGAAGAAGATGCAACGCAGGAATCACAACAAAAATCGCTTTGCATACAAGGCACGAAAATTATACTCATTTAAGGTATGAATACAGGATGATGATACTAACCTTTTCGTGGGCGTTAGCCAGAATAAAATACCTTGGAATACTTTGCCCTCTATTTTACATAATTCAGTTACTGTATTTGTTATTCTGGAATTGTTAGATTTTTAAAAAGTGTGTTTATTTTTATTAATTCATGACAGTTTACATAGGCACAACTTTCGTTTTACATATCCACATTATTTAGATATGCACACATACCACAAATAAAAATGTACATTTGAGGTAGTTCATGTACAAGTAGAATTAACTTGATTTTCTTTCTTTCTTTTTCAGAATCAAATTAAATTCCTCCAGCGGTGGGAACAGAAACTGTGGCGTCGAAGTCAACGTAGATCACCATAGCAACTACTTAACTAGCCAAGCTCTAACCCTAGAGCCCCCCCACACGCATCCTTCCAGCACACTTACCATCATGTTGATGTATACACAGCACTCTGAACTTTGCTCTCCATCTGGGTCATCTCATGTTTTACAGAGGACTCTCATCCAAAAGATCATCACATCCCTACTTGCCCTGCCTTTGGAATATCCAGCATCAAGCACAACACAGCCCCATATAGCTTAATCATATCAGTCATATCTTCAGAATATACTTAGTTTTTTAGAGCTTTCGTAAATAATATAGCTAGGATCTGATGATGTGAGTCTAATTTCTAAATAATACAAGAAATAGTGCACTGTAATTATTACACAGGTTCTTTTGTAAAAAGAAATAAAACCCATTAATATAGAATGATTGTTGGATGCTGGTAACAGTGAGCAGAGCCTGCAAGTTAAATTTTTATATTAGTATGATCTGCCTCCCCACACACACTTTTGATTGTTATTGACAGCTCAGGTCACTCCCGACTGCTTCACTTAAAACTTTCATGATTATTTAAATGTCTTAATGACTACCGTAAGTGTTCTCATGGTTTGTTAACTCCGAGTGAAGATTTTCTCTTAGATTGTGACTTATCCGATGCTTAAGCAATACTTTTACTTTTTACATTTATCCTCTTTGCCACTGATTGGCTCATTAACCACTTGGGCAGTTGGTCACATTTCTGTTACACACTGTTGGCAAGTACTGGCTCCTGAATGTATCTGTCCCTGCTCCAGTGTTGTTCAAGTCTGGTCTTGAAAGAGCTCACAATCTGGCAGATTGCTCCAAGAGTACAATTCTCACTCCAAAAAAGTTTGCCCTCACAGTTTTCTGGACTTGTAACTTCTTCAACCTTGAGCTGTGACCTCTAGTGGGGTGGGCATCTGCCAGCTCCAGGTATGGACACTTAACTGAGTAAGTGCCCTCCGAGATGTTTATAACCTCAATTCGGTCACCCCTTGCCTATTTATTGTATAAACTAGGTAGTTGCAAGCTCTCCAATCTCTCTGGGTAACTGAGGTTCTATAGAGCAGGCACCAGTCTGGTGGCCCTCCTTTGGAAATTTTCAATTGACATTCTCTAGCATATCTCGGAACCAGACACGGTGACAGCATCTTACTCTTGAAGATTGTTACGAGGGACAAACCGCCGTCTATATATTTGAACAACCTTCTTATAAGACCTACTAGTTTAGTTGTTTGATTCACCTTCCCAAAATGGCCCGAGAACTTCAGTTCGTTGTCAACATACACACCCAGGTCAATGATATTGAACTACCTCAACATAGTTTCTCTCACAATTTCAAGGAAATTTTTTTTTTTACATTTTATGTAATAAGTTCATGGTGGTCATTGGTTTATTTTATATTTATAAGAGTTGACAATAAAAGGCAATATTTCATATGTTATTTCCAGTATCTTAAGCTGGCATATAAGGTAAATTAACCCAAAAGTTTTAGGTTATTATGTTACACCAGATCAAAGGATATCATGGGTATGTTTCCTATGTTCATATAACAATATAGAAGTAGCTTCTGCATCTTGCAGGAGATGAAATGTCTTGTCAACAATAATTACAGTACAGTATATATATAAATAAAAGCCTAGGCCTATGGTCCCTTAGAGATCAAGTTCATGGTTATGTTGTAGTCTGTGATGCCAACTTTGAATGAGAACTTACAGCACTAGTGTGATAAAAGAGTGATGAAAGAAAACATTTCCCTGGTAGAGATTTAGGCATGTCCAGCATATGAAAAGTGATTTAGTGAAATTGTATTTCTAAATTCTAAAACCCTTTTAGATTCTCATTATTACCTTGTTTAGTGTACTGAAGTTCAGTTAGGCCCAGAGAGTGACATGTGTTTTGAACCAGAGCCCCTATAAAATAGTTATTTTAGAAGTGAATAGCAGATGTGTCCTGTTGTTTGGAAAAAAAAAAATGAGCCGCATGTCAAATACAAGTCTTGGCACAGCCCCAGCTCACCAAGTCGTCACCCAGAATTAATATAAAAAGTACTTCTTCACACAGAGTGGTAGACCTTTGGAATACAGTAGTCTACTAGTTGAAGCCATGGAAGTAAAAACATTACTGGAATTCAAAATGTCCCTGAACAAGACTACAGTATCAAGAACAATCGAGAGATCCTACACAAGCCATTAACCTCCTTCCCAAGTCAGGGCCACCTCTAGTTGTGGTGGCTGTTAGGTAAGTTTTCTTGAAGTTGAAAAGAGTGATTGCTGTTGAGATAAGGAAGGCCAGACAGTGCTCAGCATCAGGTATGATTTATAACTGCTATCAGATTTGTTATTAATTTCTCAAGTTCCATTAGGGAATAAACAGCAACACTGCTGAATTGTGATAAGGAGAAAGAGGAACCCTGTGATTGGTTAAAAAAAAAAAAAAATAGCTGGATAGAAACCAGTATGATCACATGAAAGTGTAATATTTTTTCTTTAAAGTGTATCAGGGCATCCAAAAGCACAAGTCACACCCACTGTGTGAGATTTGACAACCCTGGAACAACGCAACCGTGGCCTATTGTGTTGAAAAAAACAACAACAGATTACTAAGTGAAATAATCGTAAAAAAACAAAAATGAGAAATAATAGCCCAAACAAGGGATAATGAGGAATAATAGCCCTGGAGATGTTATGTAACTGTGTAACAGAGTTGCCGACTGACCGACTTGCCACCCAGTAGCACTCAGAGCGGGTGAGACTGAGCTGCGAGCTATGTTACAGTATTGTTCAACTCGTAATGTTGGGTAGATACAGTATACGTAATTTATTAATTTTCTTTTACTCTGTTACTTACATGCGCACAATCGTTCATACAGAATGTGCAACAAAGTAAGAAAGAAAAAAATATCATTAGGCCAAAAACATAAAGGGAATAAACAATTCTTGCGTAGTTGGCAGTTAGCTGACAGAGCGAGGAGAGGCATAGGGGATCTCTCGGCTGTTATCTGTCTCATGTCCAGTGAAATGATTGCCAAATGGCAATGCAATATATTTTACTTTGATTTCCTTTATTATTTATATTTATTCCTCACATTTACTGGCACAGTATACATGTGACACAGTTCATCCGGGCAGTCACCAAGCTGACTCGAGTGACATGTGTAGCTGCTGCCTGTATGCCATGTCACATATGGGGGAAGGAGAGTATGGCTGGCCAGTCACTGCCTCAATGCAGACCTTTGGATATATGAGCAATAGGGGTTGGGTATAAATGGGACTGCCCAGTATGGGTCAATAGTCCTGCTGCAGTTTCCTCCATTCTTGTGTTCACTTCCCATACACACGCACACACCCATGCTCGGCATTTTATAGTTTTATAGTACAGTATACTGTATACTATAAAATATTGTACTATACTGCATTCAGTATACGTTTCAGTAATTTTCTTTATTCTTAAGCCACATTACAGTATTGTAATGATGTGCACTTGGAGTACATAATCACTAAATTTTCCAACTCCCCTTCCAAATTTTTCCCAGCGAGTTCAAGATCACTAAACCTAAAATTACAGATCATTAAATTACAAAGGGTATTAAAAATTTTAATTTCTGAACCAAAATATCGCTAAGTAAACAATTGCTAAATGAGGGATACCTGTACTTCAGTCAATCCTGTAAAGTCCACAATAATTATTCAAATAACATTCAGCAAATCTGTTTTATTGTACTTCTAAAATTACTGAATGACACCACAGAGAGACCATAAGACTGTAAGCTGTATTCACTTGTCCTAATGTGTACTTGAAATATTTGTCAAAGTGCATTTAGTATACATCATCTTGTAAATTGAATAATACAAAGCTATAAGCTTGCTTATTTCAGCTTTCTTCAGTTTTCCGTGTTATGAACTTGAAAACAGTACTGTATTTGCCTTTAATTGTTATTTCCCTACTTAGGTTCCTGTCAATACAGTATTTCCATGTGTACCGTCAATATTTATGTTTAGTTCCTGTCCCCAGCTTAGTTGCTACATGATCTTTATAGAAATTAAACAAACTTCATGGATGACACTAAGATTACCTGGGTTGGGTCCTCACTGTTCGGCCCTTATTGTTATAGATGCATATGTGCATCTTAAATTCTTAGTTTATTTACTTGTAATCGATGGCATTATCAGGGTTAATTCTGGGTGGGACAGGAAACATGCCAGTAAAGAGAGTCATTCAAATGGTCTGTGTATCAGTTATATACAATACTCTAATCCATACATCTTTTATTCCAATTGTGTTTACTTCATAAGTCAATATAAACTAGCATTTACATGTTTACTTAAAGTTCAACATGTAATACATTCCTGAATACTTACAACCCCTTGGCCCTTGCAATCTGCAATCAAATTTAACCCCATTTAACTATATTAGCAAAAGTTATGACAATCTGAGGTGGTCCATTATCAGTATTCTTCTTTCAATGGGAGGCAACATTGTTAATTTATCACACAAATGAACAATATTGCACTGCAAACACTGTGGCAGAGGAGAGTGATTCAGCATACACTGCACAATAGCGTTATGTCCTGTAAATTCATCCAGGGATATAATTACAAACAATGATAAAATTTGGCCCTATCACTATTTTAATGTTAGTGGAGATTGCACTCATTTAATTGTTAGATTATTGTGCACCTTTACAGGGTTATACAGTATGACACACCTGACCAAGAAATCTGATAACCCTCATCACAGCTTCTGTCGCAGTGATCGTTGTGGATGGTTTCAGAGCCAAGGGTGCATAAATATTTTTTTTAGTGAGTGTACCACAGGATTGATCAGCCTCTTAAATTATACTATATTTATACATAAATACAAAGTCATTAACTTAAGTTTTTATCTTAAATTCTGCCTTTTATCAGTTGTTTTTATATGCCACTGTGACACTCAGTGGTAGCCATGTATAGTCTGTTCATTATGGAAATGTCACACTTGGCCCCACCCAGTAATACAATATACAGTTTTGTGATTGGCTAATGTGGCAGTATCCTTTGTCAGTCTACATAACTTATGCCCCATGTCCAGTGTAGACATTTGGATGCAGAAAAATATTATTGTAGTTCATATAGACAGGATATTCAAATCAATATATTAAGCCTTTCTTGACTTAAGAAGACAAAATATCAAGTAAATAATGTATGACCTTTCCTATTATAAGTTAAAAAAATTTTGACGACTCTCTGTATTGTGAGGTGTCATTTTTCCATACAAAATTTACTGAGCATTTGAACAAAACATTCTGTATAGATTACCTGCTTCTGATTCTGTTACCTTTTTACTTGCATTTGTTTTCTCTTACCTCCTTCCTTTGTTTAACCAATTATTTTTACCCTTCCATCCTGCCCATATCACTTCCCTCCCATCCTCTACTCACCCACTACAGGGTACTCCTCTTCTCCAAGCCACCCTTAATTCAGATTTTTTGAGGTCCAATTATGACAGATCCTTCAATATACCCCATAGGTAATAAGGTTTACTTTATATTCCTTTGTTGAGAAAGAGAGGGGGAATTAAGTGATAACTTCAGTATGTCTGTTGGAGATTAGGGACTGTATCTGGTCAACAACGAATCAGGTAAAATTTGGAAGCTAGTTAGGGTCATGAAAATTGCTCAAGTTCTAAATCTGGTCATGGTTTTAGAAAGATTCGTATGTTAACATCCTCAACTGGCTTACTTCAAGCATCGACTCAAATGTTACGATTAAAGTGGCCCAATTATTATTATTGTTTTTAATTTGGGGCACCAATGAACTGAATATAAACTTAATGATTTAAAGGTTTGGGATTCTTATTAACCCCTTCACTATGGGACCCCACTTTTAATATTCGATTAGGCTAACACAATTTTAATCAGCACAGAGGGATGCCCATACACAGGAAATAAATAATTGGGGGATGAATATGAGTGAAACTGTTTCTAGTTTTTAGCATAATAATATACGTATTGTAAAACTTCTTTCTTGCCTCTAGAAAACTGCAAATCATGTGCAGGAATTGTAGGTTTATATACTTTTTTTTTTTTTTTAGTTTTTCTCCCTATACAGTATAACTGACCAAGAGACCATGTCCGTCTCCTGCCATTTTTCCCGATTGTGTTAACATTTGAACATTAACCAGCAAACGTACCACTTGTTAAACAACTTGCCTACCCATCACTCTGATAAAGTAAGATAACATAACGGTACATCATTGTTAGGATAGGTTAGGTTTGGTAGGGTCACATTATCTTGGATTAATATACGTACTATCATAACTCTTATCAAAGCCTCAGCCAATGGTTTTTGTTTAATGGATATATAAAATATTAATTTAATAAATAATGTATAATAGAAAGTATTGTAAGTAAATGTAGAAAAATTGCAATATTTGCCCCCTGGATTTTTGGTTTTCTGGAATTGTAAGAATTAAATTCTGACTTTTGAGGGTAAACACTGGAATTCAAAATTAATGGGATGAATGTAATTAATAAATACACGGTAAGTAAGATGATAAACTATCAAACAGTATTTCAAAGTTCTTTTGTTTAAATTTTGATTAAAATTGAGAATTTGAGAAAATTACAACTCTTTAGAATTAGATCTCCTGTTTCATGGGTGGAAATTTTTCTTGAAATTAAAGTTAGGTAATAGTGAGGTTTGTTTATAACTTGTGAAAAAAAATGGTTATGGTACAGTACAGTACAATACAGTACATGTACAGTATTCTTTTACAGTATAGTGCCCAATAATACCTCCTATCAAGTGGGGTCTGCACTAGCCATTACCTATACCTGAAGCCATAGTTTGTAGTCAGCCAACTTTCTAGGAAAGGTTTACTTCCCCTTAACCCATTCACTACAGGGATGCCACTTTTAATATTTTACTTGGCTTATGCCAAACGATTTTATTCAGCACAGAGGGGATCCCATACACAAGTGGTTAAGTACAGTATGTGCCTTTGTGACAATACCCTTGCTATTTTTTATATGATATTACCAATGACCTGTGGGGTTGAATGCAATTCAAGGCATTTGTCATAACTTGACTTTCTGCATTAGAAAAGTTAGTCTCCTCTCTCTCCCCTTCATTGCCAGTCTCTATCCTCATGTCCTGCAGTTTCTTAATTTCCTTCCCTTGTTTTATTCTCAAATCATCCTCCAATCCTTCCCCTTCCATTTAATACTCAAGTGATGTAAATGTTTGTGGATAATTTAAGAATATTATTATTTTAAAGCCTTAGGCAATTACAAAAATCCATACTGTGTGAATAGGATTCATATATATATAATAGATGAAAACATGTAAGCTATTTTCATAAAGGGTAAAGTTTATATTAGTGTTAAGATGAAGTATTACTACCCTATAGTTATGTATGTTGAGCATATTAAACTTGTGGAAAGT